GAGAGGAGCAAGAAATCTTGAGAAAAGAAAGTTTTGAATCTTAAGTCTAAAAAGCAGATGAAGATGATTCTACTCTTTTAAGAGTGGGGATATACAGTAGGCCAGCGGCTCTCAAAGTGTAGTCCCCAGACCAGCATCCTCAGCATCACCTGGGAACCTGTTAGACATGCAGATTCTCAGGCTCCGCTGGGGGTGGGCCAGCAGTCTGTGTGTGGGCCAGCAGCCAGGGGATTCCAGCGCAGGCTGAGCCTGGGAACCATGGCTACGATGGCCCGGAGGACGCGCAACACCGAGCCAAGTTGCCTGGGTTCAAATGCCAGCTGTGTGCTTAGCTTCTGTAAGATTGTGAGTGAGCTACTTAACGTCTTTGTGCCTCAGTTTCCCTCTCTGTAAACCTGTGATTGTGTTAATGGTATTTACCTCTTACGGTGGTGTGAGGAGTTAACATACGTAAATAACAATCACAGAGCAAACACTATATAAAAGGACTAGCTACGTCAGTATTCGGTCAGCAAAGTGATTGGCGTTGGTTTGTTGGAGGTGACATACCCCATCCAGAGCAAGGTGCCTAAGGTGCCTTTGCGCTTGGAACATTCTCCCTATGCCATGCTAGTCCTTGAGTGAAAACTGGGTATTATCAAGCGGCATAAAATCAATGAGGGCTTACCAGTTACATAACAATAATGTTCATTGACCCTTGTTCCTCAAACCCGTGTAGCTCTGTATTTGTAGTGCTCTATATTCAAATATCCTATTCCTTGTCTATCTTTTTAATGGTAAAAGTTTAGGCATAATTCTATATATATGACACATTACATAAGAAAAAAATTGACAATTTGTGCTTTGCTAATTTTCCAAAATGGTTGATTTTTTTCACTTTCATTCCATTGGAAAATTGAAATGTCCTATTGCATAAAGTCAGTCCACAAGTGTATGAACGTTGTTTTGTATCTGTTTACCATTAAGTCCAGACACATGCATGGCAAAGGAATATGTCATAAAGAAATAAAGAAGAGCACAGACTCATTTCATAAATCTGCTTGCTTCAGATACATAAATTCCACTTTATCAAGAACATTTTTCTAGTAAAATGGTTGGCAGTAAGCTCAGTGGCACTTTGTCTAGGCTAGTGTGACCTTAATGTGTGCCACCGGTCAGGAAGGCCAAAGCCACCAGGGGCTTAGATACCTTCTACTCTTCTCCCAGGGCCAAGAGGGGAAAGACCCACTGTGTTTTCCCTCGCGCTTTCTGCCTCTTGGCCTGATGGAGTACTGGCTGCCCCTTGGAGGACCATATAGGCACGATCCCAAACTACCCACTTATCCAAGACTTATGAGTGGCTTGCTGGTAGTCAACAATAGCCCTGTGGTGAATTTTTAAAAATTTCTAGGAACTTTTTAGGCTTATTAATTGTTGAGACATTCATTTGCCCAGGCTGATCCCCTAGGAAAAAACTCATGCAGGATAACACTGAGAAAAATGTTGTATCCTTGAGGATAGAGCTCATTTCATCATGAAACATGAGGTTACATGAAACAAAATAGGCAGTAAATTCATACCAAATTGAATCTCTCATGTGGTGTATTAACTTGAGTGTGTCAGTTGTCTCAGCAGGAGGTCCAAATAATCCAGTCAAGGTGGTCCTTGTGGCCAGGATATTTTATCCGGCAGCGATGCTGTATTTTTATGGGAACAACAGACCTCAATTCTGCTTAAGTGACATTTATAAAGGAGCCCCTGTTTTCTGCGTGGCAAATCAGGTGCATCTGGTTCGAGGTCACACTTTTCCAGAATCAGGAAGCTTCAATGCGTCATTGAAGAAAAGTAAACAGATGTAGGTCAAACCATTTTAGTGACTTGCCATAATAATAGTGTCTCTTAAATACCTGAGTTGTTGGAAGAATTGAAGATGAGCCAGTGAAGTTATTCCTTCAAGCTGTAATTCTTTTTCTTAAGTTCCTCCCCCTGGTTGTGTGAGTGCATGTCAGTGGTGTTTCTCAGTCTAGACAGAGGGTGTTGTGCTTGGGAGGAAGAGCAGGGCAAGACCAGGAAGGACACTGGAATTCCACCAGCAGGTGTCCGCCTCCTCGGATCCCTTTCTGCATGCCCCTTGCACCCTTCCTACCCTGATCCTTACATGAAAACCTGCTCGTGATCTCCCATCCCGTGCCAGCCCTTAATACTTTAACATGTTTTCAGTATCCAGCTGACAGTGGCATTTATGGACAGTAGATTTGATCTCTTATCTTGCTGAGCCCTTGCTTGGTATTTTCGACCTGTGCCCTGTACTTTTCTTGACTCTGCTTTATACATATGTGGTGCTAAGAACCCGGGCTTTGATTTTACGTTCTGGTCACCGCACTCACTTACCTGTGTGACCACAATGCACATAACCACTCTAGGCTCCACACCTTCAGCTGTAGAAGGGACACAGTCATAGGACCTGCCCCTCTGGACTTCCCAAGGAATTGAGGACAGGCTCTTGGCACATGCCTACATGTTGAAAGCACACTGTAAATACTGTTGTTCCTCTATTCATTTCAGTCATTATCTTAAGTCCATTCTCTCACTTCCCTTCCAAGGGACCTGAGCATTCTAGATTTAAACATCTAGATTTGAGGGAAGCCAGAGATTTTCTATCTTTCCAGACTCAGCTGTTAGACCACCTTTGTGTACCCCATAGGTCTCTTAAGCAGGGAGATGGCGGGGAAACAACACGACTTCCTGGGGATCCCAGGATGCCTTAGGAGCAGAGTAAGGAGAGAAACTGAGGCCCTCCATGTCCACGAACCCCCAGTAGCCCTGCAGAGTTCATACCTTCCATATCTTCTTATCAATGTTCTTTCCCTTTACCCCAAGTTGAGTTTTGATTCATGTTCTCCCTCTTTAATTTATGCCTTTCTCCTCTTTTTGCCACTTTCTTTCTCCTATTTTTTGGATGATGGCCTTTCCACCCCCCTCTGCTTTCTCTTGTAACAGACACATTCCTTTATCATACCCTACTTTTAAAAAATATAAGTGCATTCTAGCTCTTTCTACCAGCTGTACTGCACTTTTATCTTAGACTGTAATTTTCTGCATCCTTGTTATAAGTCCTTAAAAATCACGTGCCAGTTGCATCACTGAAGCTCTGTACATAGTGACACGAGAGCCTCGGCAATAGCTCCATACGTTGACTCACCTCTCTGCAGGGCAGCCCTATGCCCTGGAATCTCTCTGTGTCTTCCTCCTAGAGGTGCTGCTTGGACTTGAATGTATCTGTGCTTCCTCTGGAACCAGGGCTACTTTTCCCACAATGCTGTTCATGGTGTTTGTGTTATTTCTGGATAAGGGTCTTCACTGACCTCCCAGAACAGAATCAATGTATTTTTATGTCCTAACTTCAAAGCTTTGGACTTCTCATCCTCCCTTGCTGTTTTCCATGAACACCCCCTGTCTCCCTGCTCACAGTTACCTTGGTAATGGGGTAATTTGTCAACAGGGGGCGTGACACATACATGTCGGAGAGTCCTTTAAAGATGGCAGCCTGAATTAGGCCCCCCAGGCTCTGTCTAGCAGCTGAGTAAACTACTTTTAGCTGGACCTACTGTTTTGAGCTTGGAAAAGAGGACAATAGAGTTTCTTTTGAATGTTCAGCCATGTGAGCAGGAAAAATTGCTCCTGCTCTGAGAAATCTAACATTTTTAACTCAGATGTTTCACTGGCCTCACAAATACTCAGTGGAACAGAGATCCATTTTATTTACTTGTCACAGGTGGTCCTTCCCAACCACCAGTGGGTCCCTCCCAAGTCTGGACAGGCAGCACGTCATTATGGAACTCTGAATCGCTTGCTCTCCTCACTAACTAGCTCTCTCCCTCTCTAGTCGTTGATAGTGGCCACATGTCCATGACTTCATGTCTGAGGCTCGGTTTTCCCAGCTATAAAACAGGGATAATGCCCCACCTAGCATTCAGGACTGTTGTAAGGACTGAGTAAAGTAAAGTACATGGAGACGCTGGATAGCTGATTTAAGTGGATAGCATTAGTATGGCCTTGCTCACCTTTCACCCAGCATTTAATTCTAGTACTGTGTCCAGTAAAATGCTGTAAAATATCATAGCAAGAGAGTCCCGGCGCAGGGAGTTGGAATCTTTCTGAGGCCAAGGGGTCCCCCTTCCCTGCCATGGGGATTCCAGGCCATGTCACGCTGGTGGCCCTGGGATGTCAGCCCATCTCAGAGTATCAGCAACACCCCAACATGGCACGATCGTGATAGTGGGTGGGCAGGAAGAAACCCTCATTCCATCTTCCTATACCTCCTGGGGCCATGCTAGCTGAAAATTAAAAAATATAAAAATATTCCCTGTGAGTCCCAGTGGAGGGCCGTGGTCACAGCTGTGCTGGGAGAGAGTTTAAAGTCACGCAACATACACACCTGGTTACCTGCTACCCACAACACTCCCTACAGACCATCCAAAGGCCTTAATTAAAAGAATTCATTATTACTCAGAAACATGATGGGGCTTCTTGTTTCTCCCTGTTTCACAGGAATATGTGAAAATTGTCTGGTCCGAATGAAAAAAGAAAAAGGAATAAGATGCCACTTTGTAAATGCTTATGTTAATCTGGATTTAGTATTCCCTTCATCCTTTTCCTCACTGCCCCTCCCCTGCTTTCCCTCATTAACCATAAAATGAGCAACAATATGACTCTGTTTATATGTAATTTACACTAATTCCCAAAACATCAGGTGTGAGCAGCTGTAGCTTGGCTTGTGGTAAAGCTGAGGGATCCTCCCATGCGGAGGAGGAGACACATTTCTACGAGGTCAAGTGCCCGGGGTACATCCTTTCTGCCCACATTACATCGTGCATACATCCTACCCGGTCTCATGCCAGGCACTGGTGGGCCTGATGTAACCGGTGGATTTTACCCTAATGCCGAGGCGGGACGGGGCGAGAGTGAGCAGAGAGGAGGGCGGGCGCTCCGCTCATTTGGCTGCCTTTCCTCTCCTGCAGAGACTCTGACCTGTTTCTGTTGGACACGCGCGTGGTGTGGGCCTCTGAGGAAGGCTGGCTGGAATTTGACATCACAGCCACCAGTAACTTGTGGGTCGTGACCCCCCAGCACAACATGGGGCTGCAGCTCAGCGTGGTGACTCAAGACGGTGAGTTGCTGACATGGTGCAAACAGCCATTTCCATTCATTTCCTTTGCAACAGTGCTGATAGAACCGTGGTTTACAGTTGCATCCGCACCTCCAAGATGACTTCATTTACTGTTCCCTCATAACTGCCCTTGAAAACCAAACCCTTCCCTCAGGTGTCCTTTGAAAGAACTGGGGATAGTTAGGTGGTCAAGGTTCAAGAGTAGCAATGCAAGGACAGCTCCCACAGCAGATGCGATAGAGACAAATTCGCACTGTTGCTGGGCTAGCAGGGGACCCTTCCCATCACCTCCCCTCCTGCAACATCAGAGCTCAGCAGCTCAGGTCCCCTCACTGGCCCTCAGAGTGGGCCCGCTCTGCGAAGTCATCTCCCTGGTTGGGGTGTATGTGATCAGGAAGAAAGAATGTGGTGGGAAAAGATGAGCAGAAATGGGAGGGGCTGGGACTTCACAGCCCTCCTTGCTATGACTCATGGGACCTTGGAAGGGCTGTTCCGGTTCTGCACATCCAAAGGGAGCCATCAGGGGTCTGAGACGGTGTGGCGCTTCCCCTCACGCTCAGTCTTTATGATCAGCACTTGAGGGGCTGGACAGGATCACCCGCGTAGCTGCAGGAATGTGTTCCCATGGAATAAGGAGGGGCGTGCTCTGGTTTGCATTCAAGGACTCAGCATCAACCCCCGAGCCGCAGGCCTCGTGGGCAGAGACGGACCTTATGACAAGCAGCCCTTCATGGTGGCCTTCTTCAAAGTGAGCGAGGTCCACGTGCGCACCACAAGGTCAGCTAGCGGTCGGCGCCGACAGCAGAGTCGCAATCGCTCCACCCAGTCTCAGGATGTGTCTCGGGTCTCCAGTGCTTCAGGTAGGTTTGGGTGGAGCCTGTTCTTCTGGAAAGGGCTCTTGGCCTCAGTGAGGACAAAGGATGTGCTGATGGCTTCAGATGTTGCCCAGATTCTGCATGGCAAATACAGAAGCCTGCCAGCACCTGTCCCGGTCACTGATTCTCTAGATGGGTTCCTAGGGCCAGCAAAGGGGAACACTTGTTACCCAAGGATTGATTCTGCAGGCTGCAGACATCCTGAGTGTCTATTTCTTCAAGAAACTCCATTTGGTAAGATTTCTCCAACTCTTCTTTCATTCACATAAAGATCCTGAGAGCACCTAGGTTTTCTTCTAGTTGCGTTTCACCTGGGAGTTTGTGATGTGCCAACAATCTTTGTACATTTGTATAAGCTGGCTTGTATTTGTCAGACCTCTTAGCTGGATGGGATGAACAGTCAGCTCAAACAGCTCTCTGGGATGGATTCCCTTGGTTCATTTAACTGGGAACTCTGGGAGTTCTAACTTTGGACATTCCTGGATCTATGGGTTCAGATGGGATTGGGAATTTCTCTTTCTTTCTCTTTTCCTTTTTTGGTGGCATTCTCAGAAAGACTACCTCCATGTGGTAGTGAGGAAAGCAACCCCAACTTCAGAAAGAGAACGTCTCTTTCAATGGTCACTTCAGTAGAAAGCCAGGCTGGGGCCATGTGCTCACCCCTGGGGCCAGGGAATGGGGTCAGTCCCATCTTGCCCCAAGTAGTTCAAAGCACAAGAGGGAAGACAGAGCTCTCACTGCTTGCGTGTCAGTCCAGTGGTCCTTCAGAAATGTTCCCTCCCATGCCATGCCTTTCAGGAAGTGGCACGGAAATCCACTCTTCAAAGCATGTAGGAGGGGGGAGCAGGGGTTCCCTCCTGATACCCAGCTCCCATAGCTAGCAAGTATTGAACCCAAATGAGATCCATCTTACTCTAAAGCCAGTGTTTGGAAGCTCCAGGTTCTCGCTGACTACTCAATAGTCCAGGAATCAAGCATGAAGTTGAAGATTTGCTGTGGAATTTGCAGGCAAAGGTCTTGTTCTTGTTACTCCTCTGACTTTGGACAAACCTAATCCATTTCAGTTTGTTTACTTATCTGTTAAGTGGGGATGATTAATACTTGGTAGATTTGCTGGGCTCATATGAGAAGCATTTGATCTGGCTTATAACAGCATTCAAAGATTAGTTGCATCTAACTGAAGGAAGCAGGTTCTCGGGGCTATTGTTAGAATCCTCGGAAAGGATATAAAATACTTCTGGAAGATGCATTAATTCTTCCATGTGACTATTTTAAAATGTCATCTTTAGAGGCCAGAAAATGTTCTTGCAACCTCCCAAAGTCCTCAGTTTTTCTTCATGAAGAAGTGTCTTCATTTCAGGTTCTGACTTAATAAGCCATTTCTTTTACAGGTAACTTGGATGTGAAACTTGAGGATCCACCACCCAGTGTGATATATTTTGCTTCTTGTCATCCTGGTGTTTTCTGGAGGCATCACACAGCATGGGTGTTCCTCTGTTTACCACTAGATGCAGTCAGGGTTGGGTTTAAAAAAAAGAAGAAATGTTTGCTTTCCTTTATTTGCTTCAGAGGAAGCTTGCTGAATAGAGCTAATAATCTCAGTGTTTTCCTTCTGGGCCTGATGATAGAGTCTGCCAATGACAGACTTCAATTCATTAATGAACTATGGCCGTTTGGTGCTGGGACCTCAGACATGAAGGTAGCTCTTGAAATGCTGATTGCTTTTCAAAGTTAAAATTTTGCTTGATTTATTCAACATCCCCCTTTTCCCCTGATATACATGCCAATTTTTTTTTCAATTGAGAAAACCTGCTGTCTCTGATCTGGGTTTTCACGGGGCCACTCAATTCTTTGCCAAGTCCCTTTCAACTCTTTTTTTCCAACCTGATGAGTTTCAATTGCATATGAATATTAAAGTTGATCAAATTTGTAAGAAGATGCAAATACATCTTCTTATTCTCGGTCTTCCCACCCCCCACCTCCCAACCCAGTGCTTTCACCTCCGGGAGCTCATAACAAGCACCTCCACCTCACCTATTTAAAGGCCCAGAACCCCAAGAAAGTACTACTAAGTAGTATCCTCATTCCCTCCTACTATCTTCAGAGACCCTCTCAAGCTTGTCTGAGAAACTGCTCATGGTAGACCCACTGAAGTGCTGCTTTATATATTTGGCTTTTTCTCCCTCATTTATCCTTGCTGTTAATGGGAGTGGACCTGCAAGGAAGAGATTGCTCTTAGAGAAGGGATTTCTGGAAAAATGGCCTGCTACCCAGAGAAATGGGCTGTCTAGTTCGTGCCTGCCTTCTGCCATCAGGCCAGATGTTGCTGGGTGTTCAGAAACCAGGTAGATGCTGCTGTGGTCTCTGGTGTGACTCCAGGCAGGACTTTTGCCTTGTAAATCTTCTGGAAGGTTGTAGCAAGAGATTGCTTTGCCTCTGCTGCCCCCCTTCTTCCACAGGGTGCTCCTGGGGAATTAATCCTTCTCCACTGAAAACACCAGCAGCAGAAGCCCACCACAGACTGTCCTGCATCAGGAGAAAGAACATAACTCATCAAAGTACTTGTCATCGGGGTGAAACATGGCAGGGAAAACGGGGCTATTTTTGGAAGTGAGTGCATCTGCAGATGCCTGAGGCGGCAGGACCAGTCCACGATGAGGAAAAGGCCAAAAGCCTTGTCCGCCTCCTCACCACCACCCACCAAAGTTTGCTCTCACATCTGGACTTGGCCTGCAGGCTGGACTTTCCGAACACATGCACCAAACAGTGGGTTTGGACGGAGGTCTCCCTGGATGGTGCTCACTTGCCCTGGCCTCTGCAGCTGTCTGCCTCAATGAATGATGGGTGTTGGCTGCGTGCACGTCTCCAGTGGGCTGGGATATCATCTGGACAGTGTAATTTATTCTTTTTACACGTTTTACCAGTCCTGGTCCAAGCCGTGTTGTGCGGTCCAGTGGGGATTCCAGCGAGTTTGGCTGGGCTCCTTCAGCCTCCCTTTCTACCAGCTTCCTGCTCTTGTGGCAACTGCTCTTGGGCTGTCACTTGGGCAGCTCCTTCTCCTTGCTGCCGTTTGCCCTCTTTTATGGTATCTTTCTCTTGGGGTTCATTATTTTATCTTCTGCAGGACTGCGACACCACCTGGTCAATCCATTACAAGGGCTGTGAACGCATGGGCCTGAGGGATGGTTCCTTGTGGTGATTCTAGATACCGGCCTACCTAGTTTTTCAGGGTCTGTCCAAGACATCTTTGAGGAGAAGGTAGTTAGTGCAATTTCAAGTCAGCTGGTAAGTCAGGTTTTCTGCCATGTCAACTTCCTAGCTACTAATACCGTGAGTTAGAATTATTGTGCTTTGTTTTGGCAGAAGATGCTTTGGAAACATTTTCTGCCACTTTTAACAATTCATGCAAACTTGGATTAGATGACCATTAGGCCTTTCTTGTCCTTGATGTTTGTATTGCCACCACCCAGCTCTGCCAACCATCTGTGAACAAGTAATATCTGTCCTTTGGAATGAGTCCTTCATTGCTTCAAATGCTACCTGTTAGCTTTACTTACAGTCAGTTCTCCCATCTCTTTTCAACTCACCCAACATGTATCTTTAAGGATCCTGGAAAAAAATGTGGCTCTGGTACACTTAGATATGCTGTTCACCTTCTTGTTGATAGTTCCTATCTTCTATCCCTTGAACTTCCCAACTGGGACCATTCAACATGCTTCCAGCATAAAAAAGGTAACCAGAATTCATTGCTTGCAAACAGTGGTTTGGATACTTTATCACGACAATGCAATTTTTTTGCTATAGATTTCAGAGAACTTGGTCCCCAGGCTAGGCGTTCTCTTTCTTATAGATCAATATTTATTTGGCTTTTAGTTTCTGGCAGGTGTCCCTGTGAGTTCACCATTTGCTTCCTTGGGTTGGTAAACCAAAACTGAATGGGCTGACCTGCCACGGACATCCAAGGCTTGCAAAGAATTGACATGGGTCAGGGATGTGAATTACCTGTTTAAAAGTTCTTCAAAGGAGTCAGCAATTTTGACTTCTCATTTTGATCTTAAATAAAAAATTTAGGGCCTGCAGCTTGGCTTCCAGATGTCTCAGTCAAAAAGTAGAGGCTCGTTCAGGGCTTTCTCAACAAAATCAAATCTTAACTCTCCACAGCTGTGGAGGACAGCCTTAACGTTAGCTATTTGAAAGTTAAAATCATTTCATACACCGTATTAATTATACTCGACTTCTCTGCCATTAGGCCCTTTTAGGATAAAGGTTACCTAGGAGTGAAATAGACTAGAAAGTTACCTCCTTTTCCATTCCTGGATTCACCCTGTGTGAATGTGCCAGTGGCCAGCAATGCTGGAAGGCAGTAGTAGAGGCGTAAACAGGTGCTGAAAGATGCCTCAATAATTCACCAACTTCTCCCGATGCCTGTGAACATACAGGGACCAGGAGACTCAGTCCAGGAAGTGCTGGAAGCACAGGGAGTTCTATAGCTCAGTCCTCGAGGGAAGCCCTTGTTTATTTTCAAGATGCTTAGCTCCATATTCTTTTAATCAAAACAAAGGCTGAGAAAACACCAGATTCCCACCCAGATTAATAGGAGCCTTCTGAGATCTCGAAACCCTGGAGTGGTAAAAGAAGAGGGACCTCATTGTCGCTTCTCGTGCGAACCATCCAGGTTGTAAACAAAGTCTCGACTCAGAAGCAAGCTGTCCACCTGCCCCAACTCTTTATGAGATTATTGATACCAGAAATCAAAATCCTGGTGTCGATTTCTGGAACCCTTTGTGTCCCACCATGTCCATGGCACGGGGAGCTTGGCTTCCTCCAGCATGTTCTCAAGGCTTGTGTTGATCGTATGTAGGCTGATGAGGCCCAGAGCGATGGACAGAGAGGCCGGACCAGTGAAGGCTGAGATGCCATCTTATCAGCTGCTCGTTTTCTTGGCCCTTGTCATTCCAGGAGAGAACGGAGAAAAGAAGAATGAA